TGGACAAATGCAAAGGTCAGCTTAAAGCTGAGTGTTAGCATGGAAAATTTCAGCACAAACTCTTCACACCTGTGTAGGTCATAGGCACACTAAATGCTGGGTCTTCAAATAGAATGACTCAAGGAAAATTACCACTGTATCTGGCATCCACATGTACTCTATGTACTTTTTGGGATTTCACCACCCAAACTTGGTCCTGCACAATATTTAAAATGAAGATGGGTTAGGTGTGAACATGCCTGGGAAGTTTTCCAGGTGAGTTTTGTGCTCCAGAGATTTTGTGAGTGGCCATTTCAGGAACACCAGAGGCACGTAGCTTGCCAGAAGACTTTTGCTTGATGATTCCTGATGCTTTCATCACCTGCCTCTAAAAGTTACCACAGGAATGACTTTGAACAATCCAGACCTGTGTCTGTCAAAGCTGTTTTGTCTGCCAGCCAGATGGTCGGTAGGTGAGGGCGACCTGCTGCTTCCAGGACGATTTCCTGGTGACAAGACAAATGGCATTTCTTCCCCCGGATCCAGAGGTCACAAGAGACAATGCTTTAAAGTAAGCAAGGCTCTGAGACATCCTTGCTGGAATTCCACCTGAAATTCTTGTGTTATTGCTATTATTGTTATTATACCCAGTGTTTAACATCACTAAGCTATCACCCAAGCAGCCAATACTCCATGTGTGGGCACAGAGCCATGCACCTCGTGTTATCCTGCAGGGATCTGCCTGCTGGTGGCCAGGGCAGGCAGGGTTGTGATGCAGGGCAAGGGACTGCAATGCCTTGCTGTGCATGAAATTGGCACAGTGAGGGGCTTCCTGCTCTCCAGCTTCTCCCTGTCACCAGAGTGGGCCATGGGTGCAGACAGGAATTTTTTCTGCTGTGCAGGTTCAGTGCTGGGACCTTGGCACGGGGTGATGATTTCAGCTACCTCAGTGTGGCTGAGACTGGCAGGGGCACCTGGCTTTCAGAGGCAGCTGCTTATGAAAATGTTCCCATTTTGCTCCTGAATGCCTGCCTGCCTTTCAGCTACCTCTAGAGAGGTGAGCAGATGGGTGATCAGGTGCATTTATGTTTTAATCCCTTGTTGAAAGGAACACAGGCTTTGAAATGTTCTGTTTTAAGCAAATGGCTGCAAATAAGGTGTGAAGCCCACAGCCAGGACATGCCCCTCACTCTGCCCTTTGCACTTCTCTCACCCTCGTGGTACCTCCTGCACAGCCTCCTCCTCTCCCCTCCCCTTTATTTTTTAAATTTTCCAGTAGGCATATCAATTAGATGAGAGCTTTTCCTTTTAAACATTGGGATTTTCACTCGGCCTGCTAAGGCTGTCAGGTCTTGTTTGCTGCTGAACAGTTCATGCTTTGGTGCTGGACAATGCATGAATGTTTAAATTGCCTGAAATGTCTAATTGAATTATCCTCAAATTACAAATCAAAATAGGGGAGGCTGTCTCTGGCTCACAGGCTCATTCACTGGGATGTGTCTGCCATGCTGCTGCTTTTCTTTATATTTTCTTTTCTGCTTCCGACTAGGCCTGTGTTAAATGAAACTTAAATAGTGAAAGCATTTCTGTTTGCGTGTGCAGGGGGAAGTGATGCCGAACGTAAAGGGAAATTTATTCACGTTCCGGCTCTGAGCTCTCTTTGTGCTGCACAGAAATGAATTAATGAAATTCCTACCAATGCATAGGAAAGGAAAACAGCCAGCTGCTATTTGCAAAGAAACTTCCTTTCTCTTTCAGCCACAGTGATATATCATATAAAATACTTTCAGGCAGATATATATAAATACCATGTAACTATTTTTTTATGAGAGGTCACAGATTAAGGAAACCAACTGCCATAAAAAAGATTTGATATATCTAGCCAGCACACGTGATAAAATCAGCTTCCTAAAGCCTTGCCATAATACAACAAGGGAGGAATTTAAACCCATAGGATTTTCTTCTTTAAGTTCTTAGGAAAGGTAGAGTTAGGTGTCCATGTTTGCCCTGTCCTGCACCCTCCCCAGCACCCCTGGAGGCTGATCAGGACTCTTCTCACTGCAATAATGCTTCTTTCATGGACCTAATACTTTTTATAGAAATTTATAATACATGATAGAGGGGGATAAACTACCTATGTCCAGCCTCAATCATTTTGTTACTGAACCTTCACTTGCCCAATGACTGCCTGAAACAAGGGCTCAGAGTGGGTGCTGGTGCTGCACACTGTGTCCAGCACTTGCACCATCCCTCCTCTCCCCAGAAAATACCCTTGAGGGACTGCACACTTCATCAAGGCACTGGTGCCTCCCCCTGAGGCTCCCAGGACATCCCATGTGCTCTGTGTTTGGTGCTCAATGAGGAGCCAGGACATCCCGTGTGCTCTGTGTTTGCTGCTCAATGAGGAGCCAGGACATCCCATGTGCTCTGTGTTTGGTGCTCAATGAGGAGCCAGGACATCCCATGTGCTCTGTGTTTGCTGCTCAGTAAGGAGCCAGGACATCCCATGTGCTCTGTGTTTGCTGCTCAATGAGGAGCCAGGAAATCCCATGTGCTCTGTGTTTGCTGCTCAGTAAGGAGCCTGTGCCAGCTCCCAGCACTGCCTGGGTGCTCACACCCTCGAGGGCTGGGCTGGCAGGACACTCAGTCTAATCAGGAGAACTGCTAATCCCCCTGGATGTATCAAACTGTGCCACGGGGCAAGACAGAAGCAGCAAGACAAGGGTTTAAATGTTGCAGTGAGTGCCTTTGTTTTAACTAAAGCCAAAAGTAAAACAAGTTCAGAACATGACAGCTATCTTGATATTAATATTCTTAGTATTTTTTTCCGAATACTAAAAAACTTAGTTTCAAGGCACTTTTAAGGGCAGCTTTTCTGTAAACCCATAATTAGACTACTGTTTCTGTGCTATAAATATGGTTGAAGACATTGCAATTATGAAATAACTTTAAGAAAATGGCATAGATAAAATCTTTATTAATGGAAGATCAGCTCTGAAGGGATATTTTTGATAAGAAAGAAACTTATATTAACATGAAAAATGTTAACATTCCAGTAATTGAAGACTAATACATCCTATAACATCAGTTGTCAATTGTTTTTTGTTGTTTTCTTTTTTTAAAAACACATGATCATTTTGTGCACAAAGATTATACCTGCATGAATCAAGCATGCCCAAATAAAAGCAACTTTCAGAAATGGAGAAAGCTCTGATTTGGAACTAATTGTACTGGGCATCTTTTAAGAAGATGCAACCTTGGCAACATGTGCCCAAATGGAACCAGTGAAAAGCACTTCATGATTTTATATTACCAGAATCACAGAATTCACATATCTCTCATTATAATTTCTTGCTCCCTCTCCAAATGATATTAAACCCCAGTAATCTAATTTCTCTCTGGCTTTCATAACACTGGTTCCCAGTGATGGGATGGTGAAGGAAGAGCACATCAGGCAACATCAGGCTCCTCAGCACAGCGAAGTCGCTGCACCTCATATTATTTAGCAAGGTTTTCAGGTGTACTCAAGACATAACCCTGGTTTGAGGTTTGGAGCTCTTTTACTGTACTCTGGTCTTATCAGATTTGCACCAATCCTCCCATTGCTTGTTGTGACCATCTTATCATAACTAAAGCAAGACAAGAGTTCAGCCAAACAGCAGTGAATTTGGGGCTGATAGGATTAGTAGGACTTGAGGGACCACACCAGGGTGTGCCCTGCTCTCCAAAGTGACATCTTACTTCCTCTGCAGACTGGAGGTGAGGATGTTAATCCAATAGTTTTGATGCCTGAAGCAGGGGTCAACGCCTTCCAGAGGCATTTTCTTTCTCAGTGGTCACATAGAGATTTTAACATGAAAGATTTCTTTCTGCAAAACCTGCCTAATATTTAAACCTGACAGATACCATAGCCTGTGCCATAATGGCTATTGCTGTGATTCATTAAACTGACCCCCAACCACTTTGCATCATAGAATCATAGAATTGTTTAGGTTGGACAAGGCCTCTAGGATCATCAAGTCCAACCCCTTATCCAGCACCATCACATTCACCACTAAACCAAATCTCCAGGTGCCACAACTGTGTCTTTTAAATAGGTCCAGGTTTACTGACTCTACCACTTCCCTGGGCAGCTTCTTCCAATGCTTGACAACCCTTTAAATGTAGAAGTTTTTCCTAATATCTGTCTTATTTAAGATTTTTTTCCAAACTGGGACATGAAATAATTCCTAAGGTACCAGCAAAAAACTGTTAGGGAATAATGTCTTGGGAACTAAGACAACAAGAATGCTTCCCTATTTAAATAAAATCCTCCCCTCCCACATCAGCTGACCTCACACAGACACCAGACACTCCCTGGGGAATATTTCAATCTCCTCCTGTGGCTGGGGAAGGAGGAGTGCAGGCTGTGGCAGGCCCTCACAGGGGCTGTGCTCTTCACCTCCACCTGGTAAAGGCACAGAACTGGGAGGGGGAATCCCAGCCAAAGCACCCAGGTTTAGCTGTGGTGTGTCAGTGTCCATCTGCTGAAGGACTGGTCCATAAACTGCTTTTGTTCTTGAGTGGAAAAGGAGGGTGAAAACCATCCAGGGAGTTAGAATATAAATTAACATTGTCTCTTGAATATTGTGAACATTATCTCTTGCACCAAAATAAATAAAGATATGTACTATTATGTGAAAGGTGAAGAAATCACTCTAAAACTAGACTATGAAACCTCCAGCCCCTCAGCATGAGAGAAAGGGTTTAATGAGCCTTGGCGGGCTGCAGGAATGCATGACTGTAATCCCTTTGTTTATCATCAGTGCACATATTTGGGACAAGAACTGCAGGGTTAGGTGAGACAGAACCAGGACCCGTCAAGAAACACAAGCAGCAGCCTTGGACTTCTCCAAAATCACAACAGAAACTGCTCAAGCATGTCTGGTAAATTTGGGTAACAAGAGAAGTGCCTGAAGAGGCACTGCAGCCATTCCCCCATTCAATGCTCTCAGCTACATAACCAACAGGACACAGCTAAGTTTTTACAAGTACATTTTTATTTAAAATAAAAATTAATTATGGTGCCTTTTTAAAATAGGGTACTGCACAATCTGTATATGCAACACAGTTTTTGGTACAGAACATACTTATTGAGCAATATCCTTAAATACTAAATATACATTAATGGCTTGTTTGAGAAACATGACAACATTAAGTTTGATATTTTTTTTCTCTTTAGTCATTTAACCACTGATACAGATTTCCTATAAACAGTATTTGTTTTCATCTGTACATGTGGTACACAGTCAAGAAGGCAGATCTTAGAATATTTACATTCATGCATTGATTTAAACACACTATTTTGCAGTTTAAAATAATATATTTTTGTTTGTACAGGTGCAGGGAGTATTGTAAATACATATCTACCATAGGCCTGATTCTCCATTGCTTTGCAGCATCAATGGTCATGACCTGGTTGGAGCAGGCTGCCCACACTTTCTCCACGTGCTGTGACCATATAGCATGCAAGATTGGACAATCAGATCTCTGTATAGATATATATCAATATATTTATATATTATACTTTGTAGAACTTTCCCCTTTCTTTCCATGTCTGTTTTTGCAGCATCTGTCCAAGGCAGAAATGCTTCCCTGGGCACACCACTGTGTCAGGTGCAGGACAGGAAAGGCAGCAGGGCTGGGGCTTCAGCTCTACCTTCCTGTCTTGTGAGGAACAAGGAAACTCAGCACTTTGCAGCTCAGGCCCTTAAGGCGCATTCCCTGCTAGTGGTGATCCTTGAGAAGAGATTTGGAGCTGCTGCTCTCCCTCAGACTGAGGGCAGTGAGTTTGCCTGGTGGTGGTCAGAGCACAGCAAGCACCTTCTGTGTAGAAACTGGCCACCTCCACACCTGCTGGGGATCTGAGGACTTTGTGAATGGAGCTAGGCAGGTCCTTTCTACCCCTGATATTTTAGTAGCTAAAAAGGAACTCAAAATGCTTGTAAAGCTGTATTTTGGGTTGCCAGTTCCCCACATCCAGGATCACTGCTTAGCGAAGCACTCATGTATCTGGCCTACTCCTTTCCCTTTGCATTTAGTTATAGCACAATAAGGAAGCACAGAAGCCTCTCTTATATAAGCTTTGCAAGTAGTCTGTAGAGTATTAAACACAACCTTAAACCCCATCAGCAAGCCTCAGAAATCACTCCTCAGTGACATCCCCTGTCTAGCCTCCCTTTTCTGAAGGCTTGTCTGATTCCAGTACATTTTTCCCGGCGCCTTTCTCAAGATCACTTTGGTGCAATGTAGCCAAGGGTACTTGGGCAGGAATCTAAAGGCAAAGCTACTCCATGAAGATTTCCCACCTCTTCCTGCCATGCTGTGATGTGAGGGCTGAGAGCAAAGGGTCTGGGCAAGCAGAAAAGCAGCTCTCAGCCTGTCTGCTGCTGCTTTTCTGTGGCCAATGCATTATAAAAGCATGTGAGGAATGCTTGCTCAAGAGCTATTCTGGCAATTATGTGCCCAATACATTTATCAGCATGTTGCATATAATGATAGTGTGTATCCACCTAGCAAATAAGCTGCGTGTATTTCTCTCAAAATGCTGCCCCAGAGCTGGTACCTACTTTTACTGTGATTATACAGATGGGTAAACTGAGGCACAGAGAGGCAAAATTACTTGCTAGTAAACAGCAGATCAGTGGTAGAGTTGGAAACAGCTCCTAGAGGCATGTGCTGTGCCTTGCGATGCCTCTCCACTCTCCAGGAAGTTTTTAATGTTTATGTTCTCCTGAAGAGTTTTCAGGGGCCTGGGCTGGGTTTGCTTGTGGGTTGTGTCATGCATCTTCTCTAGTGAGGACATTTTACCACTGATATCACTGAAAATCAGACAGTTTAGTGACCATCTCATTTTACTCTTTTTTTTTTTTTTTTTTGCAAAAACAGACATACTTTGATGGACACAATGATCTACAAATCCTTTTTGTGATTTTGACCTTACAGAACATGCCTTTAAAGCTGTATTAGGAAACAAATAAAATTGAAACCTTTAGGGAAAAGTGCTAATCCTGAGCCCATATTATGCTAAACTTATCTGCAGTCATACTTTATACTCTCAGATAAACATGCAACCAGTCTCAAACTATGCCACATTTCCACATTTAGGCTGAAACAACTGGAGTTGAAAGAAAAAAAGAAAGGCAAACATAGGTAATTACACCAAAATAAATGTTATAGCTTAAAAATATTCTAGAAATATACTTGCAATATTTTTATTATAGTATTTAGGGGCTAAGTGCTTTAGGCAATCAACATTTGGGACACTAGACTCAAATTGTAAATTCTGCAATTTTAATCCCACTTTGGATCTAAGAATATATCACTGTGTCTTGCACAAGCACACAACATTAATGTGGGTGGGAATGATCATACTCATGGGCAAAGAGTTACTTGCCTCCTTTAACTTTTGCAATTGCATTCACTTCCCAAGAAAGTCTAACTTTAAAAAATATTTTTATGCAGTTAAACTTCTACATAGTGATGACAGACTAAAAAGCTAAATTAATAACTACATACATTTCTCAAGAGCAATATATAGCAGCATTTCATGTTATAATTGAAAAGGTACTTATATTTACATACACCCTATTGTTTGATAGGTAATAGAAAACTGCAGATGGGCCTGAGCTGAGACTGCTGATTTGAATATTCCAGAGCTTTTTTTGGGAAGATCTGCAGAATGTTGTCTTCCTCTACCATCATGCCAAACTCTGCATTCCAGGAATAGATTACCCACAGGCCGGAATGCACTCAAAATCCAGGTCTGATTTCTGCAGTTCAGGCACATCCTTGTATAAAACTGAAAGTATTGGTGTGCTGCAGTACTGAGGGACAACACAGCTGGGGACAGCCAGGTCCCCGAGCGAGACTGCATCGGTGCCTGGAGTTACCCACAGACACAGAGACTGAGTGGTACCAAAGTTTTATGTCCAGACAAGATGCCAGGGTGTAAATTTGTCTTTGACTGCATCACTACTTTCAGCACAGAGGTAAATGGAGACATACACATGGAGATATGACACAAAGGAAAGTTTTCAGGAGGTAGGGAAAGACCAGCATCTCAACTAGTCTCATCACCTTTATCCTAAGGGCTACTTACTGAGTCTGACCTGAGATCCTACGTGAAATGAATTTGGGTAGATTCAGCTTTGCCTCAAATAGTCTGCAATTCACGTCATGGAAAGTATAGTGAACTGTACACTGAACTTGGCACCACTGTCAGCCTCGGCTCAGGAGAGGCAGGGACTGAGCACACAATCAGCTACCAGACCCTCCAAAGTGGTCCTACAAGCCAGACCTGCAATGTCCTCAGTGCATCAGTTCAGGAGACTCAACACTTTGAGGGAACAACACTAACCAGTGAATGAAGAGAATTTCAAAGGGCTGCTAGTCCTTTCAACAGAATCCTGCCCAAACACTCACACCAAGACGTAAACAGCATCTTCCCTGTAGGAGTTTCCCTGGGGAATCAGTGTGATGCAAACACAGAGAAACATGGACTTTCACAAAGGAACATTTCTAAAGATAAAATAAAAGTGTGGTGCAAAAAAGGAGGCTGATTATGAAGCAATAATGTTTAAAGCACATCTTAATTACATCTCTTTCAATAGCAATGCTAATTGCTAAAATCTTACATTTTGATTTCTCCTGCCTGGAAACTTCAGCCATGAAAACTGCATAGTCACCAGACCACAGAAGAATTTCTTGGGATAAGTCACAAGTTCAGGCCAATTTTGCTTGATTGCTTAACAGAAGTCTTTGTTCCCTTTTTAATAACAAAACAGTAAGAATGAAAAGAATGAAGCATCAATGTATCAAACTGCACAGGCCGGAGAAGCACATAGGTGACACCTCTCACCATTTAGAGGGAGACACCTCCCATTTATAAGGAGACACCTCCCTCTGACCCATCTGTGATAAACTACTGCCGCTCTGGCAGATCACCCTCTCCTCAAAAGATCCTACTCCGGAAGCTTTTTGTGACACTCAATTCAAACTTAAAAGTAGGGGAAGAGAGGAAGAAGAAGCGGGAGACATCGCAACATCGCTTTCATGGGATGCAGCATGCAGTGCTTATGCCCAGAGGCCTTTTCTCTGGGCAGCCCAGGTGGGTGAGTTTATCCTCCCTGGAGCAGCAGCAAGCCTGGAGAGCAGCCTGTTTTTCTCTTCTGGATCACTGATGCGTGCGCTGTTTCTGAAATGAAGTCCTTGGCCACAGAGCTCCCTCGGTTGCCTCATTTCACCCACCTTGCATACTCTGTGTGTGTGCTTTGAAAGTTTACCACCTCCTGCGCTTGGCGGGGCTTCGGGGATTATACGACCGCATTGTTATCAACTGTTTTGTTGTTTTGGGAGGAGGTCATTGCATATTCCGACCGACTGGTTCCGTTCTCTTCTTTTCTCATTGGTTTCCTTGGGTGATCCCAGGTTCGGTGATGTACAGGCAGGGAAGGGAGAGAAGAAAGAACAGAGATCAACATCTTTGTCAATACAGATCGAAAGCGAGGACATGTAAGGTACATATTAATCCTGAACTTCTGTCTATTTTTCCCTTTCTAAACACAGGCCAAAGCAGCAGCTAATTTTGTCAAGCATCATAGTCCACCTGGAAGGTGACATGTCTGATCCTAAGGTGTCACGATGTGCTTTTGGTGTCCCCATGCTAGTCTGTTAATGGATACAGGTGTCCCTGTTGCATGAGATGAAGGCTGCTGGAAGGAATGTCCTCCACTGCCACCTTCATCTCTGGAACACAAGCTGGGATGCTGGGCTGGGTGCTGGGTTGGGCTCTGCCTTGGAGCAGTCATGACCTTTCTCCTCCAAGTGTCATATCATTCAAACTGGGATGATGGCCAGTCATGTCCACCAAGGACCCAAGTCCCTCACCAGTCATCAGAACACCGCTGTGTTCAGTCACTGGGAGTCAGCTCACTGACCAGTGCAGATATGCACACCTGTGGTGACCACCCCAGACAATCTCCACAGCCAGTGAGGAAACACAGGCACTTTTAAACATGATTCAGAACAGCTTAAAGTGGATACCCAAAATATGTCAGATGCTTTGTGCCCAGGGCATTTGTGCTTCCCTGCACTGTCAGTAAGGGCAGGCTAGTCTGCTAGCCCAGACAGAGGTGTCTGTGTTCTAGGTGTCTGAGCTAGTGACTGAAACATGGTGCCTGCTGTGAGCTTCCAGCACCTTCACCTTCTTGTTTTGCTTAGTGGCCACTCCTACTGTTTGCTAACATAGTCCAGGATCATGTGTTAATTGTGAGAAAATTCAGGAAATTCTCAACAAGTGCAGAAATCTATCAAGCATCTGTACATCACAGAGCAAAATCATTTATTTAGGATTGTTCAGTTACTCTGAAAAGGGAGACCTGAGCTTATGTCCTGTAACAGACCACGTTCCATCTTGTAACTTCCCCCCACAACCTCCCTTCTCAAAAGTGGCTTAACTGGATGCTTTAAACATAGTAGGAGGAAAAAAGCTTTATCTTTTTCTTTATCTTTTTTTATCTTTCCACACAGATATTTCAGACATGAGTGTCTTGAGTTTAAGGTGTTGCTGAGGGCAAAAAGAGGACCAGATACATGTATTACAACAGTCAGTCTCTGCTATTGTTCTTGACAACATTTAACAAAACAGACAGCAATTATTAAAAAATGGTTAACGATATTTAATTTCAGCAAAGTATTAATGAAAGCTTTATGGACAGTGATTACAGGTAGGTGAATTTGATTGCTTATAATCTCAAATAAAATACTTCTGATTGTGATATTTTGTGCCTCTCTACCTGGCAAGAGTTAATATTAGTCATGATTGCAGCTATTAGAGAAGGAAATGGAAGGGGAGACTAAGAATTAAGGAGACTAAGGGGTTTGATAAACTGTTTTTCAGTGCTCAACATGTAGTGCCTGTCTGCATCTGAAACAAGGTCATGTGGGTCTTCTGTGACACTGAAAGCACACATTCACCATGCCACATCCCTGACAGGACGAATGGAGATCCTGATGGCAGTGATTTTTTTTTTTTTTCTTTCAGGTCAGGAAAAACATCTCTGTTGCTTTCAAAAATTCTTTTGTTTTTCTTTTCTCTCAGTTCCAAACCTATCAATAGCTAAAAAATGAAAACATTTTGGCCACTTTTACTTGCTGTTTTTCTCCTATTTACTCCTTCTTTTTTTGGTCTCCTATGTTTCTGCACTTCTCCAGTTCCATTTTCTTTCCCTGTCTAGACTTCCTCTTCTTTCTTTATGTTAAAAAATGCCTTTCTCTCATTTTTATCTATTTTTTTTGCATTTTCTAGTAGTGATTTTAAGACGCACTGCTTCAGTTGTCCTGAAATTTGCACTTTCCCTCCCCAGGCTGGTGTCCCAGCACAGACCTGGGTGGATTGGAGGCTCTCCTCTGATGGTGAGATCTCTCTGCAGACCCTGCTGGACAGGTTGCCAGGGATATCACACCACTGGCACTTGCATGCAATGGAAGAGTATTTTTTCAGAGCCTGCAGATAGGGGAATGGAGATTTTATCAAGGTTCTGCTTCTGCCTTATCAATTGCTCAGGGTTAGTGCTAGCAAAACAGAGCACTTATTTTCCTGAGTCTCAATGAAAAGACCATTGTTAGATGCAAAAGTTCAGGCTTGGAGACTGTTTAATTCCTTCTCTCATTTTTTTTTTCAAATGAACAACAGGCAGGGATTTGGGGTCAGACTTGCCCCAGTTACACCATTTAAATCACAGGCTTGGCAGAGTGGTATGCACTTGTCACTGTGATTAAATTGACCCATGTATTTAGATATACAAAGACATTTTGGCTTGTTGTGATTTTTGAAGGACCCTCTAGCATTAGGGCATTGGCTCTCTGTGTGCCACTAGCTCTGTGCCACTTAACCCTTTTTACTCTAATTTTTGTTCACTCTTGTGATCCAAGCATGCAAAGTTTCTTGCACACCAAGGAGAACCCTTTTATCCTATTTTCTACCTAATATGCCAAACTGTGCATGATCTTCCAAAGTGTAATACTCCAAGCCCCCTTTCAGATGATAAGTATGGACATGCATTTATGCATTTCCATTCCAGGGTTGCTCTTGATTGGTTAAAGGGATGTTTCAAATTAGTGAGGAAATGAGTAGGGAACTAGTCATATCTGTGACATACTCACTTGGTGGCAGGCGAAAGAGGCTTTTCACTAATAAGTGGTTTGCATTGTTTTACAGTATAATTTGCTATACATTGTTTAGCAAACAAATTGGGTCTTCATGCCAAACATCAGTGAATGAAACTCTGGCCATGCAACTGTGTACAGCTTAGCACACGCCTGAAATGATGCCTCAGAGTCCACAATGACCTCTCCACCATGCATGCATTAACTTGTGCGAGTCCTAAAATCAAGAAAGCATCGAACAGCTGTTTAACAGTGTATTTCACACATCAAGCTAAAATTTCAGATGAGGTTCTGATCACATTATATATCTTATTTATCAAAGAACTTCATACTGGCTTGTCATATTGGCTTGTATCAATCCTCTGCAGAGTCCTGGATAAAAGTCAATGCATATCCAAACACAATTTTTATGTTGTACATTCAGAAAATTTGTTAGAGGAAACATAGTTTTTGGCCCTTTATCATGTCTAGTTACAAAACTTAGTTTGTATATTTGACAAAACCCTCCTTGCCAGCTTTGGCTACTGTGTAATTTGGCACAGACATACTGTTTGAAAGGCAATTATGTGATAGAGTACTAGAGAGGGCTTCACCTCATGTCCCATTTGTACACACTTCAGAAAACCTCTGTTTGTGACTACTCAGACAAAATCAAGTAAAACCAGAGCAGACTATTAATTTAATCATGACTTTATCACAGCTCATTATAGGCTTAATAAAGCTTTGAGAAGAATAAAATCACTTTGATGTGGGAACAGAAGTTTTGTCCAGAACAGTAAGCTGCAAGAGAGTTTAAAACTTCCAATGTAATTCACATTTCATAAACTTCCAGGTGCTTCATGCTTGAAAGGGATGGGAGTTTAGAATAAAACCTGATATCATAAGACAATCTGAGTGTTGCAAGCCCATTTCTAACTAACTACCTCCATAGCAATATCACTGTGAGTGCCAGTGCATCCAGTCCTGCATCTGGGAAGGCTGAGTTCCAAGGAAATCCAATTAAGCCAGGAAGGGGTGACCTTGGGCTGGCAGCAGAGACATGACAGGATCTCAAATTCACCTCCTTCTGGGGTTCCCATACCCGACTCAGCACTGCCAGGAGACACCTGTCTCCACTTGGGGATTTGCTGCCCTGGATTATTGTCTGGGGAAATACATATCCTATTTCTTCCAAAACAGGAATAGAGAGTCATTCTTCTTTTCAGGCATAGTTAGAGGAGCAAAGATTGGTTTTTTGGTATGTATTGTTGGAGAGGATTACCATTAGTCAGAAGTTCAAAGTAAAACTTCACTCTTTGTTCACCAGTGGTACAAAACTCTAAATTGTAAAGGCCAACTGCAAAAATCTTTCTCTATATATGTATATACATGAAAGATTGCACTGTATGGGTATCAGTATCAACTGACAGATTTTACTAAAGGTGAAAGCTATGAGGCAGCTCCCTACTGTCTTTGCCCAATTGTATCTGTGCCAATGTACAGGGTGCCCATGCCAAAAATCCCTTTGTGTTTTCAGTTCCTCTCAGGAAGGTGCCTTTAGTAGCATGTAAAGAGCTTGTCTCTCTCCAGATTGCTGTTTCACTCCTGAACAAAGTTCTGTGGGAATCTCCATTTTGCAGCCCCATTTCTGGTGCTGGCATGTGCTGAGTTGAGTGCTAATCTCCGGGGCAAAGTGGCTGAAGGGAGAGGGCAAATCAGAGAGCTATTTCACTTACATGTGCAGTGATCTCAAAGCTGTTCTCCATTACCATAACCATCTAATTATTCTCTATTTCATTAGCTATCAACACACAAAAGATAACTTTCAATGAAATTTGATGAAATTTGGTCTCATACAACACACCCATTTGCTTCATAGGATTGGTCTATCCTCAGGGGACATAGAAATACACAGAAATATCTGAGATACCTATATACCAGCAGAGATCAAGCTGCAGTGGCATCTTTCTGGGTTACAAAAAGTTGTCCAAGAATCAGGGTAGATATCTGTGTAGTTTATTTCCAGTCAGCTTCATCTCCAGGGCTAGGATGCTAGCAGTACCTGTGGCAGCTCTGCTGAGAGCTCCAGGCTAGACTTCACTGCTGGAGCCCAGACACGATGATGTGTGGGCTACAGTCACACTTCAAATACATCCTTATTTAGCAGATAGGAATGGAAGCATACATTTTGTCATGTTATTCAATAGACCATCACTCTGCATAATCTGAATGTTTATAAGAACTTAAAGAACATGAATGGAGGCTGT